AAGCAGATGAGGCTGTGAGGGAGGAGCCCTCCCTGACGGACGGGATTAGTGCCCTTAAAAGAGCCACGAGTGCTTGCTCTCCACCACGTAAAGATACAAGGAATAATCAGCCGTCTGCAACCCAGGAGAGGCCCTCACGAGAACCCCACCCTGCCGGCCCCCGGATCTTGAACTTCCAGCCTTCAGAACCGTAAGGCACACATTTCCGTTGGTTATAAGCCACCCAGTTTATGGCATTTCATTATAGCAGCCCAAGCCGAGACAATAGTGTTTCTGGTTTTCAATGGAATGCTGCTGTTTACATCCAGTTTCATGATTTGTTGTACTCCTCTGGCTACTTTGGGATAAACTCTGGATATGGGTCCAGGAGTGATGGCACCTGTCCCAGGTACAATCATAAAAGGTTTTACATTTAGGCTCCCTTATCATTTTTTTCTCAGTACCAATTAGATGATCAATTCGATTTCAACCGGCAGGGACAACTTCCCTACCTTACCTTAGGGTCTTTGTTTAGACATCGTGATATCATTTTGATGCATTCAAGACATCATGGTAATCGGTCCTAATGAGCAGGAAGTACCCTAGTTGCCTTGGATGGTGAGAGCTAAATTCCATGAAAAATCAGTGGTCTGTAGACTATCATGGTCTCCCTTCCAAAGTGAAAGACAAGCAGCTACGCCTTGCACTGCCCACAACTAGGAAAGGCCCAGGCCTGGCGTGTGTGGACTTTGAAATGACCACATCTGGGTGTGCTGCTCCCGTCTTCTGACTGAGGAAGCTGTAGGCTGTTGGTTTCGCGAGACCTGGACAAGGACCCGCAGCTCTGATACTCAGGACAGGTTTGTAGCCGGCCGGGCCAGAAGTGCGGACAGCCTAGGGACTCCACTGATGGCCGCTGTCTAACGTGGCTGTCTTCTGGGACTGAGTCCTTTTTTATTTATTTATTTATTTATTTATTTATATTTGGCTGAGTTGGGTCTTTGTTGCTGTGCGCGGGCTTTCTCTAGTTGCGGCAAATGGGGTCTGCCCTTCGTTGCAGTGTGCGGGCTTCTCATTGCGGTGGCTTCTCTTGTTGGGGAGCACAGGCTCTAGGCCTGTGGGCTTCAGTAGTTGTGGCTCGTGGGCTCAGTAGTTGTGGCTCGTGGGCTTAGTTGCTCCGCAGCACGTGGGATCTTCCCGGACCAGGGCTTGAACCCACGTCCCCTGCATTGGCAGGCGGGTTCTTAACCACTGTGCCACCAGGGAAGCCCCTGGGATTGAGTCCTTAACGTAGTTTCTGTGCTGACCCCAGGTTGTGTCAGAATTGAACTGTAGGACATTCGAGTGGTGATGGAGAGGAGGTGGTGAATGATAAGACTCAAGCAGGTCAGGAAGGCAAAAGTAACCCCCATGAACAGATGGCCAGGGTTCCCAGAAAATGTCTCCCTCTGAGTTGTCCTTGTGCTCTGTCTACTCCTGTTCTGCATATGGACTTGCTGTCCCTGCCCAGAACCCATCTGGGGACTGCCCAAATCACTTACTCACCATCGCTGCTCCTGATCAGAAAACTCCTCTCATACCAGAAGTGCAGCACTAGGCTTACGACCATGGGATTCCCTGACGTCAACCCAGAAGCAGCTCAGCTACTGACAGCGGGAAGGCTGCCCTACTGCAGACCCATTTATGACCATTTCTCCCACAGCCAGAATACACCAGCCTGGGGCCATCAGAAGATGGGAAGAGCCCCTCTTACTGCTCTGCCAGATAAGCCTGGAGGAATTTCTGCTTTCCATCCTGACTCTGGGCTCTGCTGTCCCGGGGGTGGGGGGAGGCTGCTGCCACCGGTGACAGTGGTTCCCCTCTGAACCAGCAGGGATAGGGTTCCTGCATCGGCTGGTGGGATTGATCCCAATTACTGAGGGGGAGCCTGGAGGCCGGCACAACTCAAGGACAGTAAAACCTGTATCTGTACCTGACGTCTTCACTGGGCACCTCCTCGTACTTAGTACTTCCAGGTTCGACTGTAAAAAGAAAGGAAGTCCTCTAAAAACAAGACTGTTAGGGTCTCAAATCTTTCAGAAAGGACAGTGAGGCCCAGAAAACCAGGCCTACATGGTAGAAGGAAGACTCTTTGAAACGGGGGCGCAGGCCTGGTGAATGCTTGCTCTGGATGTCTCTCCTCACCTCCCCGACTTGACATGACAGGCTGGGTGTGTTAACTACACCAATTAGCAAAGGGCAGACCCAGCACCGAGGGAGGAGTCCGGCATTACCTGGAGAGGCTGCATCACTGAGATACGACACCTCGTGGGCCTTCTTTGGTATGAAGAATGTTTGCCCCACATCAGGCGGGCGCATTTTGGTAACTCAGTATATGGGTGGGTGAGAACAAACTGTTCGTAGCCAAAGGGTCACCTGCCAGTGTGCTTTCAGATCAATTCTTGTCTGCTCTGCACAAGGTGCCGACTTCTGCAAGGAACTGTCCCAGGCTCCCTGTCTAGTTTGGCAAACAGGAGGGCAGGAGGAGAAAGACGGGCATCTCTCTCCCTTCCACAGTGGTGCTGATGCATCTCCCCTGAGGGGTCAGCTCCTGCTGGAGGGAGGCTCTGTCCCTGTGTCCCAGTAACCGTTATGCTGACCCGCCAGCCCCAGGGAAAGGGCTCCTCCACCATCATAATGATCAAATCCTTGTACTGAATTCCCTTAGCTGGAAAGCCTAGCGTGCTTATGTTCTCCCACCTGGGCTGACACAGTGTCCTGTAGTTGATTAAGACGTCCTGGGTCAGACTTCAGTTTGGTCATGACGTTTTTTTCATCTTTCATTATGAGAATTTTCAAAAAATAAATAACCGTATACTAACTAGATTCAATCTAGATTCAATATTTTTAAAAGATTTTGCATGTTTCCTTAATCCATATATGTGTACTCTTTTTCTAACGGAACCATTTCAAAGTAAATTGCATTTGTTACGGCTCCTTTTTCTTAAATAATTCAGCATACAGCTCCTAAGAAAAGCAGCCTTTTCTCATATAACCATGACCATACCTAAGAAAATTAACACAAATTCCCCTAAAATCTGCTATCCAGTACATACTCAAATTTACCCCGTTACCCCCGAAAATGACTTTATAGCTGCATTCCCCCAGTTTAGGAACTAATTAAGTTTTGCACATGCATTTATGTCTCCTTAGTTTCTTTTTTTTTTGGCGGTACGTGGGCCTCTCACTGTTGTGGCCTCTCCCGTTGCGGAGCACAGGCTCCGGATGCGCAGGCTCAGCGGCCATGGCTCATGGGCCCAGCCGCTCTGTGGCATGTGGGATCTTCCCGGACCGGGGCACGAACCCGTGTCCCCTGCATCGGCAGGCAGACTCTCAACCACTGCGCCACCAGGGAAGCCCTCCTTAGTTTCTTTTAACAAAAAACAGGGCCCTCACTTTTGTTTTCTGAATAATGTTGTCTATTTGATGAAACCAGGCCAGTCACTTACAGAACATCCCATGTGTCTCTTTCCTCGTGGTTCTGTGTCACTTGTCCCTCCATCTGTAAACTGGGGGAGACTGTGCATCTCACACGGCATCATGCCAGGCCTGCCGTGAGCCGGGGTCACAGTGGACACTCCCAGGCCCCTGCGCTGTGAAAGTGGACCTTTGCCTTGGTTTTAGGACTTGTTGATGGACCCACCGTGACCTGATTATTTCGCTGGGGGCAGAACTGGCGGCTCTCTAATCGCATTGCTCCCTCTGTACTGATTAGCTGCGGGTGCTGTACCGTGACGAAGAATCTCCCTCATCGGCGGCACGGCCTGTGTTCTTCCATGAAAGGAGGGCGAATGTCTCCTTCTTTTTAATCATTAACCCCCATGGTAACAAGTTGGTGTGATGGCTACGTCCACTGGTGTCTGTAAATGGGCCCTCCCTCCCTCATTAGCTTAACATGGATGACGTGGATATTTATTTTTTCAGTATTTGATCATCAATTTCAAAGGTCACTCTTCTGGAAAGTAAAGAGACATTTCTTAGATTCCTGCCCCCAGAGCTGGTCAGGATTTCGCTTCAATAACATCAAGCAGAAGACAGGACTCAGTGGAAAAGGTGGGAAGATTGTAAAACAGTGACCTTATGGCAGTGTTGGCTAAGAAGAGGAAAATGCAGACACGCACTGGAAAGAAAAATCTAAAGTAAGTAAGCAAACATCTAAATAAGTAAGTCTAAAATCTAAAAATCGAAAATAAGTAAGTAGTGATTAGGAAAAAGTTGTTTTATATTAAAACCAAGCCCAGCAGAATAAATGTCATGTTCAAAGGTCCTAGAAACACAGAGATACTTATAAACATACCTTTACAACAGACGTTTGGGTAAAGGACACTGGCTAGATACCACCACCAGGTACAGACGAGCATGAGTAAAACATAAAAAGATCATAATCATGAGAAATAAATATGTAGTGACAGCATCTGACAGAAATAAAAGAAGAAACCAAGCAAGATGAATCAACAGGCGTGTGGCTATTTGTCTTACTAGTGCTTTAAGTTCCACTGAAAATTTTTGACTTACAGAAGTTCAATATGAATTCTAAGTCTATGTTTTATTTTTTTGCCTGTGATAAAAGCAGACTGGATAACACAAAAAACAACACAGGTCTATTCACAAACACACCAGGGCTTTAATTTTATTCTTTTTGTTTTTGTGTGTGTTTTTGTTTTAAACCAAGCTGTACACTTTTAGAAAATAAACAACAGGAAGCCATCCTCCGCTTACCCTTCGTGGGTGGGCAGGGAGGCTCGGCCAACAGAGAGCCGGCAGACGCCCGTCGCTCACGCGCGCACAGCTACCTCGTCAAGGTAAGAAGCTGAGATGTGCTGAGATCACACAGAAAATACGCCACTCGGCTCTGCAGCGAAGCGTAAGGGCGAGAGCGCCTACGGGGCTGGTGCTCAGCACCACTCGGCACACGCACCACGTCACAAGCTCCCACAGAAAATCAAGCCTCTTCCTCAAATACAATCGTCACAGGACTTTATTCACTGTTTACTCTTCTGGCAGCAGGACTTCTCGGAAGTAGAATCTAATCACAAGTAGAAATGAGGAAGCACTTTGTTAGAAGGCTCCACATCTTCTAAGAAGAATTGCACAGTTTCCAAACACCAGCACTGACTTAACCTTATTTTTGGTAACAAAAAGAATAGCAATTAAGATACGCAGTGGTTTACATTACGAAAGTTGAGAAACGCTGGACAAACGACATCCTGTAAACACGGTCTTCACGGTCGCTGTGAGTCTGAGGCACCGTGATCCCCACATTGTGCGTCCTTCACGCCCACCCCTGGGTGTTCTCCACTCACAACCCTCCTTCCGATACTATTAATTATGGCCGATTAGCAGGACTGACACTAACAAGAGTGACTAAGCTGGACCCCAGCTGTCTCCTCTCCAGGACTGGACACTCCTGGGTCACTCAGATCACGTCAGAAGACAGAGGACTTTCATTACCTGGTGGCACGTCTCCCAGTCTTTGCTGGATCATTTCTAAATGGTGAATGTATTCCGTCAAGGAATGTTCCGGATCTTGAGAAGCAGTCAGGGATCTTTCTGATCTGGGATTTGGGGACGGATTGGATCTTCAAACATACAAACCAACAAACAAACAGAAAGAGTTGAACTCAGCAGATGGTTTGAATGCAGCCAGTGCGGAGGGGCAGTGGAGTTGGGCCTGCTGACCAGACACCCGTGGGAAATGGGGTAAACTAGGCGGTTGTTACTTTCCTATATTTTCTTTACCACAGCAGAAAAATAGTAAGGGTTTTTTAAGAAGTGCTACATAGTGCTTTAAAACTAACTTCTTTACAATGTCTCCGAATTAAAACAACTAAAAACTACTATATATTATTTAATTCACTAAATCTTCACATATGAGTCTATCATCCCAACCGGATTCTGCCCAGCATCCCTCACAGGGGTCCCTTCCTCCTGGCCTCCAGCTGGGCCCAGGGAGGCCCGTCTATGTCACTGCTTACTTCCTCTCCAGGGCAGGGAGCGTCTTACCTGTGCGCCATCACCAAAAAAGAGGCCTTGGCCACCACCTATTCCTTCAAAGGTATCACCCACTCGGGAATGGGGGAGCCACAGCCAGACCGAGAGCCCCTGCCTGCCCACCCCGAATAGAACCAGGCTTCTGGGCCCTCATGGACTCACACTGCTGCACTCCCTGCCTAGCTCTGGGACCCAAACTTTCAGAATACGTCTCTGTGAGGAAGCACACACGCTGGTGGGTTCTCATTGGCAGAGACGCAGGGTGAGTGGGGGACACAGCCTCGCGCACGGCAGAGCCGCCCATGCTCGTCGGTCTGGCCTCCCCCATCAGGGCAGTTACGCCCGAGATCGTCACACTCTTAACACGCAATTCGTACGGAGGTCTCATCACCAACCGGAGATCATGGAGCGAGAGAGCAAAGGTGAGCATTTTATCCCTGCTGGTCCGATGTCAGAGATGGACGATGCGTTCTGCTCTGACGAGCTTGTTTTAGAACCCCGGGAAAGCACGCACAGAGAGAGCAGACGACATGCCTGCACGAGCCGTTACGTGTGTGACAAATACCACAGACACAGACTGAGCTTTCTATTCACTTCACGGGCAGGTTCCAAATACTGGAGGAGTCATAGTCAAATGAATTAAATAAATGACTCGTAATCATATTCGAGCATTTGAATAGGATTATTATTATCTGTGTTTCAGTCTGGAGAAATGGAAATGGAAATCACATCGCTCACAAGCAGCACTTGGATAAGAAATCTCACAGTCAGGAAAATGGGCTGCAAACCGTGATGAAGGTGATTAGGGCCACACCACACAGCCTTGTTACACCCAGGGCTCAGTACGTGACAATCACAGCCATCAGGGAAACCTTTCTTCACCTGAATTTTTAAACAAAATTCCATTCTACAATTTAACCACAAGGCCTCTTAATTATATTTTTAATTGAAAACAGTTTTTTCCCCAAATAACCGATGGATGTTTAACATTATCACTGTAACATCTCTATTGCCAAGTAAGTTATAAGTATAAAAACACATTATGTGTGCAAAAAACTCCCCAATCCCAAAGAAAAAGACTAAGTAAAGCTAACACCACAGCCTTGCATGTATGTCTGTGTGTGTGTGTCGGGCGGGGGGGGGGGGGGGTCCTGGGGGGTTCATGTGTGCCCGGGGGCCCTTCCATCACAGGCGGGCCTGGGCACCCGCACAGATCTGCCCAGGGACACCTCCGTGCGTGGCCCTGTCTCTGCAGACGGGGCCCCTGCTGACAGCTACAACCCTGCAGTGGAAAAGCAACTGAGGCACCACCACTCACCTTTCTCTCCTGCGTGGGGATGCTTTTGGCACAGGGCCCCTGGCGTGGCTGGAAGACACGTCCCGGGTTGGTGGGGATGCGCGGGTGTCAGGTGGAGACTGCTGCCGCCGTGGCACCAGGAATCCTTCCCCCAGGATTATTTCGCAACGAAGGGATTAAGAAAAGAAAAGAATGCATTTTAGTAGGGAGGTCCACCCACCAAAATTTTAAATTTACAAGCTTTTAGGAGTCTGCATGGCAATTTCAAAACGTTTAAAAGGTACTCGTTAGGGCTTCCCTGGTGGCGCAGTTGTTGAGAGTCCGCCTGCCGATGCAGGGGACGTGGGTTCATGCCCTGGTCCGGGAAGATCCCACATGTTGAGGTGCGGCTGGGCCTGTGAGCCATTGGCCGCTGAGCCTGCGCATCCGGAGCCTGTGCTCCACAACGGGAGAGGCCACAACAGTGAGAGTTCTGCGTACCGCAAAAAAAAAAAAAAAGAAAACACAAATTTAAACGTTTTAAATTTCTTGACAATATTTCAGCATACCTTAGTATGAGTATTTTTGCATCAGAGGCAAAAATAACCCACCTTGTGTATAATGAATCTCTTGTTTTATATGTACCTAAGGCTCTATTATTCCTATTTGTTTTGATCAGTTGAAATTACTGCAGGGTACTACCAGGTCTGGCTGCCAGTGATGGTAGCAGCTGAAGCTGACTTTGGTCAGATCACCAAAGAGCAGGCTCAGCAGTTGTGGCACACGGGCCCAGCTGCTCTGCAGCATGTGGGATCTTCCCGGACCAGGGATCGAACCCGTGTCCCCTGCATTGTCAGGCGGATTCCCAACTACTGCGCCACCAGGGAAGTCTGAAACCTGAGTTTTGAGCACCTGCATTTCATTCCTGCAAGGCCAACCCTGACCCCCGTGTCTGTGTGGGCAGCGACCTGGAGAAGCACTTAGCACCCTGATGGAGTGAGCAGGGTGCCAGGTGGGCCTGGGGTGGGTCTCCTGCACCCAGCTCTGAGGAGTGGGAAGGGCAGACACCCTGGCGACCACCAGTTGCAGCCGGGGGGCAGGGGGTGTGGGGGGACCCCTCCTGAAGAACCTCGAAGCCAGCTGATTTCGAGACGTAAGGATTCACACGTGGAAATCAAAGGGGACTGGCACCACCAGGGAAGCCGTGGCCATGAAGGGTGCTGCCCACTGCAGCTCCCCCAGGCAGCCCGGCTACACCTGGGCAGCGGCCTGTCAGATGGGGCAGAGGACAACCGCAGCCTGGACGGGACTGAGGCACAGGAGGCAGTGGTGCTCCCAGGAGACGTGCACAGTGTGAGGTAGAACTTCACTCCATTTGGGAGAATGAAAAAGACCTTTTATTGAAGATAAGCTATTGGTTGATACATTTAGCATTTCTGTATTTTTCAGTCATTATTATGCTCCTCTGAACCACTTTTATTCATCAACATTAACTGTATAAACTTGTGCTTGTTCCCCAAATAAAAACCACTTTCCTTCAAAAACCCTCTGCCTCCTGACAAGCGCACTGGCTGAATTACTGCTTTCTTACTGTGCTTTGCGACCTCCCTCCAGCTGGGCACTGAAGAAGCCCACGGGTGGCATGGGGTGGGGGGTACCTGGGCGGGGTGCTCGGCCTGGCGCTAGGGCTCCTCTGCCATCTACTTGTTGCCATTTCTTAACCAGAAAGCGTAACCTAGAATAAAAGAAAACATTGAAAACTAGAGCAACACAGGAGTGAAAAGAACCGAGAAAATCCAGACATGACGGGACCACGGAGTGAGAGCACGGCCCTCTACCCGGGCAGCCGCCAGCACCTTCCCGGCCCCGCCCCCGGCCCCTGGGCCCCCGACCCTGCCCCTCCACTCCCAGACCCGCCAGCTGGGGTCTGTCTGGTTCACCGCACTCCCTTCCATCGCTAACGCACTTGACGGGCCCCGGACAGCTGGGGGAAATGGAGACCCTCGCCCTCCACGTGGTGACGGGAGGTGCAGCGGTGTAGGGGCCCCTAGACCCCTCTCCTCAACGGCCCCCAGCAGCTCCCTCACAGCACTGCTGCCTCTGAGACCCAAGGCTCAGAAGGTACCTCCACTTCGCGTTGGTGGAAGGACGGAGGCAGGGTTTGGGGCTCTCCCCGCCCCAACCCAGCATCTGACGTACTTCCTGGCACAGGGCACGTTCCCCGAAAATACAGAACAGATGGACGGACGGACGGACAGGTGACAGACAGAGTGACAGACAGGTGGGTGGACAGTCTGTGGTCCGGAGAACTCAGAGGGAGGGAGGGCGCTAAGTGCCTGGAGGCCGGGGGAGGCCTCCACCCCGCGGGGGCTCCTGGCAAGTGTGCGGCTGGACCATGTGTGGTGCTGGGTCTCTGAGGGCAATGGGACCCACACTGCCTTTTGTGGTGCAGTCCAGGGAAAAGGCCGAGGCGGCCCAGCCCACCCTGCTGTGCCTGGTCCCGCAGACGGAGGTGAGCGCGGCCCGGAAAAAGCAGCTCCGTGGGCACCAGAGCAGACACAGTGGCACAGTTCTCAGTGGGACAAACATTTTTAGAAATACAGCAGATTTTAAAATTATAAAATAAAGTAGATTTTCATCACTGTTAATTCTGAAATAGTCACAATTCCCTATCACACCAGGGAGTCCATCCGTATTCCAAAGTGGTGCCCTGCATGCATACTGGCTGGAGCTGGGCTGGGCTGGGCCAGGCAAACACTTAGGGGTCAGGTGTATCTCCCCGCTGGGGGGCCCACAGTGTGTCCTCCTGTGCACATGGCACCCTTTATGAAGCACAAATTTGACTGAAATATAAGAAACTGGAACACGAAAAAGTGAAATGCAGTTTTCAGCTCGATCAGACACGTCCGTCATCACAAGAACACCATTAAGGGGAAGGCTCTGCTTTACAATAGAAAGGCAGCCTTAAACCCTTCCATCTGAGAAGGTGCGGCTCTACACAGCGTGGTTTCCGGAAGACAAGGGTCGTCTATACTTTAAGGCCTCAAATATCATTCATCTTAAAAAAGGGAACAACTGTAGCGTTTCAAAGACTAAACGACCCCAAAGCAGACAGGAGGCACGTGCCACGGCGGTACCTTAAGACAGCGATCACCACCCTGACGGCAGTGCGGAATTTCGTGAAAGGGCGTGCCGCCACCGCTTTCTTATCTGCCTTGGAAGGAAATACTCCCAAGTGCGCGATCATGGAGAGCGTCTCTTGTTCAGAGTCCTGGAATCCACCAATCAACAGCAAAAGATACTTCTTTTGATAAATCAGGGCTTTTCTAAAGCTCTCTGCTCTCAGATAATGCAAGTACAATTTTTCCATCTAAAAGAAAAAGAAAACACAGTGAAACTTAACCACAGGACAAAGACACCCTTCTCACAAGTCTCCATAGCACACTTGTATCAGGTGCTTTAAAAAGAACCAGACTTCTTTCCTCAGCAAATTATCACAGCAGTCAGCTCCGCACGACATCTATAACCAGCAACAACCTTGCAGTTCAGAGCTGGACCTTGTTTATCTGACAAAACACACAGCACAGACGACCCTTCACCAGCATCAGAGGAGCCCCGCGAGGGCCCAGGAATCGAACCACTAAGCACGGACCAAACTGGGGGCAGGTGGGGGTCCCATCGCAGGTCTGCGGGCATCGGGGGTCAGGGAGACCTGAGGTCACAGGCAGAGGTTGGTGTCCATATCCTAATATGGCTTTTCCCTCCAGAGAGACCCACAGCTTGGGCCTCACCATCAGAAACGCTGACTGAGCTGTGGGCTCAAGGCTCTTCCAGGCTGTGGACACTATCATCTGTAATTCAAGCACCAAGACTTCCACCCCTTAACCCAGGATTTTACAAAGCGCCACGGGCGCCACACAGAGGATCTCTAGGGCAGCGAAAATGCTCTGCATGACACCATTGTGGTGGACATTTGTCATCTTACACTTGTCAAACCCACAGAATGTATGGCCCCAAGAGCAGCCCGCACATGATGACAACGTGACACTGTGGGTCTATGGACTGCAACACATGCACTGCCTGGGGGAAGTGGATGGTGGGGCAGAGGGTTCGGGAAATCTCCGTACTTTCCCCTCAATTTGGCTGTGAACCTAAAACTTGCCTAGAAACATAAATCTTAAACAAGTAAGAAGCAGCCACGAGACGCTGTCTGCACACCTAGCACCACCCATGGGCTTGGTCTTACCTTGGCATTGCAGGTGCCAGCTTCTGGTGTGGGCAGTGCTAGGTCTGGGTGTCGTGCTGAGCCCGGCGAGACCATCCTGTCCTGCTTCCACACAGACCTGTCCGACCTCTGCAATGACCACAGACAGCGTGTCTACACAGCTGCTCTCCCGGGACAGCAACTCAAGAAAAGTGGCTGAGGGCTTCCCTGGTGGTGCAGTGGTTAAGAATCCACCTGCCAGTGCAGGGGACACGGGTTCTAGCCCTGGTCCGGGAAGATCCCGCGTGCCGCGGAGCAACTAAGCCCGTGCGCCACAACTACTGACCCTGCACTCTAGAGCCCGCGAGCCACAACTACTGAGCCCGTGCGCCACAACTACTGAGCCTGTGCTCTAGAGCTCGCGTGCCACAACTACTGAGCCCACGTGCCACCACTACTGAAGCCCGCGCGCCTAGAGCCCGTGCTCCGCACCAAGAGAAGCCACCGCAGTGAGAAGCCCACGCACCACAATGAAGACTAGCCCCCGCTTGCTGCATCTAGAGAAAGCCCGCACTCAGCAACAAAGACACAACGCAGCCAAAAAAATGAAGGAAAGGAGGGAGGGAGGGAAGGAGGGGAAAAGAAAAGAAAAGAGAAGAAAAGAAAAAAGGGGCTGAGAGCACAGTGGTGACCGCTCCCAGGACCGAGCCGCCCCCATGCTGTGCCCTCCGGACACGGGTGGGCTGGGGCAGGTGCCGGCCACCTGGGTCCCTCTGCAGCCTCTTCTCAGTGACGTCCCGCTTGTTACGTGATTATTTCATTAGACTCAAGGGTGGTTACTACACACTGTTAACTGAAGTATGATTGTACAAAAGGCATATTTTTACTAAAAACAAAACCCTCACATTTGAGAAATCACCCTGAATTCAATGCTTTAAGCCTATTAGACACCCCTGTCCTCCCTGGCCCTAGAAATGCTGCCCCTGGCAGACGCGGACACCCAGCTCTGTTCAAGCGCCATCGAACCACACACCCTGGACACCTCAGGAGGGGCCCACACCACACAGAGGGGATGTCGTGACCAGGCCACGTGTCCCAACACTGGCAGCGTGGCCTGGATACCACACTGTGCTGAGCACCCCAGAGCTCTGGTGTGGACACACGGACAGACGAAGGGCCCCACAGGGAGGGCCAAGGCTGCTGCCCACAACGGACAGCCAGGACCGCCTGTCGCCGAGGCCAAGGCCCGCTCGGAGCACTCCCGGGGTCATGTGCTCAGCTGCCGCCAAGGCAGCCTGGCTGCGCCGGCCCACAACTCAGGGCAGGACTCGGAAGAGGGAGGTGCCGAGCTGGGTGACCTCCCTGCTGGGGCAGAAGGAAGAGACCACATTTCCCGGTTCTAACAGAGCCTGGTCTCTCCGGGGAAAAGACACTCTAGCAACAGAAGTCACCCCGACACAAAGGAGAAGACGCTCCAGTCTGTCCACCCTCAGCCTGCCTCTCGCTCGCTCATTACATTTATTTCCTGATTCATTACCTTCCAGGCGAAGGACAAAGTGTCCCAGGTGATGGTGCTTTAGTCCACCCCCCGGCGCACTCTGAACAAGGAGCCCCCATGGGAGCAGGCGGCCGTGCTCAGCGCCAACGGCACCTCTCGCCTTTGCAGTCCCTCCCGACAAGGCACAGGGCCACGGGTCTGCCGGCGGTTGGGCCCCACGAGCAAAGGAGCCCCCTTAACCCCACAGCGCTTCAGACAGACAAAGTGGAACTGGACAGGACTGAGAAGCCGGAGGTCCCACTTGGGGACACACCACCGCCCTCTGGTAACTGCCAACGGGACCTGCCCGGCCTTGACAGGGCACCCTGCCCAGGAGCACCAGAAACACCAAGCCCTGCACTAAGAACCTTCCAGAAGAGAAAACACTAGGCACGGATGGTCTCACTGGTGCATCTTAACAAGCATTTAAGGAAGAAATGAATACCAGCTCTACACAATCTCTTCCAGAAAACAGGAGGGAACACGTCCCAGCTCATTTCACAAGAATGAGACCAAAGACAATGACTAAAACCGTCCAGGTTAACATCCCACATGAAGCCAGATATGAAAACGTAGCCAAAATATACGCAAATCGAACCCAGCCTGCAGCCGCCGGGGCCCCAGGACGCGTACCCTGCGCGCACAGCCCTCCTGCGGGGTCCCCGGGGCCCGGGGGCTCCTCTCCAGCCGGGACATGGCCCTGCACAGCTCCGCCCTCTCCCGCGTCACCGTGCTGAGCGCTCGGCTCAGGGACTCGTTGTCCTTCAGCAGGA